GGAGCTGGGGGAGGCTTTCAGTAGAGAGGGCTGGGAGAAGGTGCCTATGGCGGCTGTTTACACCACTCTTGTAGTGCAGCCTTATGCCCCAGTCTTCATGTCTTTGTGATGCTGTTCCTGCCAGGCTTCCAGAGAAGCCAGGAGCTGAGATGCTCCCGCACGTGTGTGTGTGTGTGTGTGTGTGTGTGTGTGTGTGCATGTGCAAGTGCATGTTAGGGAAGCACATTGGACATGATGAAATCTAAAAATATACCTGTTCCTATATCTTTCCCCTTTCTAATGTGTCCTGAAGTCCCAAGACTTACCTGAGTAGCCAGAGCTGCCGTGTGTGGTAGTTGCCTCAGATGTGGTAGAGAAGCGTGGCCTAAAACCAGAAATCCAGGCTCTGTCAACTGCCAGCTATGTGGTGACAATAACTCCTATCTGTGGGCGTGGCGGGGTGTTTCACCTTCTAGAAGATGCAAAAGCCATGCATCCACGACAGAGCTGTGCCCACTCCAAGGTAGAGAGTTAGAGGCTACTAGTGTTGTAATTCAAGAAAAGCAGAGAGCGAGATAAAGATGCCATGTGACAGGGTTTTCTTTTAGTTAGGGAAAGGGACATGAAATGCGGAGGGGGAGACCAGCCTCTGGGGACAGGAGCAGCAGGAGAGAGGAGAGAGAAAAGAGGAAAGAGGGAGAGAGGGAGGGAGGGAAGGAGAGAGAGAGAGAGAGAGAGAGAGAGAGAGAGAGAGAGAGAGAGAGAGAGAGACAGAGAGAGACAGAGAGAGAGAGACAGAGACAGAGAGAGAGAGAGGAACAGACAGACAAAGAGAGGGAGGAGGATGGGAGGTGGGCAGGCAGGGCCCTTTCAAAAAGGAACACAGTGAATGTGCACAGGTGGTGCTCTCAGTGGCTGTGACTGAGAGCGAATCCTCTCAGTAGCCCAGCACAGATGCCTGAAACTAACGACTAGCAGTGAGTGACCATGTGAGGGATGTGGCCTCTCCCCACTACTTTTCCTTCAGATGCTACAGGGTGGGGTATGTTTGAGGATAGGGAATGGGGGGCTCCCTCCCAGAGAGCCAATGCAGAACCAAAGATGCAAAGTTAAGTTCTAGGCACAAAGGAATGGAAATTTAACCGTGTCTGAAGTCTGCTGGGAGACAGCTGCTGCTTTTCAGTTCTCCTAGTTGAGGAGGAGGAATGACTCACACATGTGACAATGTCTAAGTGACAGTGTTCACCAGCCAAAGCCATGTTCTGGAATCTTATGACCAAAGACCCGAGAGCCACACAGTTAGGATGGCACATCCCATTCATTATTTGTCCCTAGGTACTACATAGATGAGTGCCTAGGGACAGGAGTGTCCCTTAAATAGAGTATACTCATGGCCCATCTTCCTCTCATCCCATCTCTATTAAATACTCTCTCTATAGGTGATTCCCATGAAGACTCGAGTTTATTCAGTTTGTTGCTGCACTCCAAAGTGGTATTGAACAGCTCTACTCTGAGTCCAATAGACATCTTCTCAGCGTGTCCGTGCTGTGAACCTTATCCTCACACCTGATGGCTCCTTTTCTACATTATTCCTTATTTGGTACTGATAGCCCCACCCAGACACCTATGGACACTACTGCGTGAAGCCTGATTGAGCTCACAAGCCTACTCACTGGGTTTCCATATGGCATTTGGGTCTATGATTCCTCTTGACATTCCTGTGACAACTCTTTGGCCAGGTGTGGGTCACACACCTGTAACCCCAGCCCATGGGAGGCTGAGTCGGAAGGGCTGTAAATTTGAGGCCACCTTGGGCTACACAGTGAGATTCTGTATCTACATCCTTCCTGCCGAAGACCATTCTTCTCTGGTTCTGTTCGTGTTAGACATAAATGCCAAACTGCTGCTTACAAGGCCCTCCGCTTCCTCCCAGCTGTGGTGGGATGTGTGCACTTGTAGTGGGGCACAGCCCTAAGAAGCCTCTTCCCATGGGGCTCCTTTCCCCTCAGTCCAAAACCAATCTCCCCCCCTGCCTGTCTCCTTCCCTCTCACTTATCAAGACTTGCATAGCATCTTTCCTCCTCCAGACCTCACAGCTACTCCCACGGATCTCCCAGACAACTTGTAGTGCCCTTGATCATGACAACAATGGCTTAAGGCACTTCCCCAAAGTGGGACCTGGGTGACCATGCCCTCTTCTCTGGGGGAAGAGCCAGTCTTTCAATGGGTGAGAAACATCAACATAGTTGATAGATCAAAGATGAAAAGACAAGTTCTTAAAATTGTCTGGGATGTGGGGGTGGGAATCTCAGGGGTTTAGGGTATCACACTATATTTATGAGACTTCCAGAAGGAACAAATCCGGAAAGTCTCATGCATCCCAACAAATTCTCCTAAGTAGCCGATTTCTTGTTATTTCTGTCCCCACACTTTCACCTTGCTGTAAGGAGGGGACCAGAGAGCTCCTATTCAGGTATGGATATCTGACAGGAACCTGGACAGGGGTTGCATTTTAGGGAAAATACGGTAGAAAGCTCAGACTCAGCAAGTCAAAGTCAGCCACATCCCTGAATGCTTTCCTCTATGCTGTAGGGGTGGAGTTGGGGGGGTATGGGGGGTGGTGGGGGGGTGGATGGGGAGGTGGGTTCAAAGCAAAGCTTAGTGGAGCTAAGCTAAGAAACTGCCTTTTGTGGTGAGTGGAAGAGGGTGACCATGAGCAGAGGTAGTGACCAAGGCTGTCACGGTGTCACTTTGCTCCAGGAGAAGGAACTGCAGAGACAGAGTGCTCGCTGACCCCTTCCCCTGCTCCTGATGGCAACTGCTTGGCACTTTAGCTGCCAACAGATTAAAGAGATCCTTTATATAAAAGCACAAATGGCAAATCCAAGAGGGGAAAATCGACTTTGAAGGGAAGGCTAAACACCAACTTGTTCCTCCATAAGACTTTTAACGTCTGTGTTAGACAAAATGCTGTGAGTTAATGAGTTAATGTTTTTGACTCAAGGGTAGGGTTTTTCTCTTCAAACATGTAGAGTTACTTATGCTGTTTTAAGAATTTCAAAAGCTCTTTCAAAAACCGGGGTTTGGTCTAAGTGACTCAGAAGAGGGGCTCTGTAAGAGAAAGGTTGTGGGAGAGGAAAGGGTCTTATACTGAGGAAAGAGAGTTATTGCTTTCAAATGTCAGCATGTGACATGAATTAAGAGGTGGCTTTTTGTTTTTTAAGTTTGAGAGCTGTAATTCTTTTAAAACCCTCGAACAATTCCCAGAAAGTTAAAGTAAAATGAATCTGATTACTAAATTGTACATGGAAATTTAAAGACATTTTTTCAGTTACGAATTGTATCTCTATAATTTTCTAATACAGAAATCTTAGGATTCTAAAATTCAGTTGATTAGAACTGTGGTCAGATCTCAGTGGAGATGGTTCCTTTCCACGGATTGAAGCTTTGACTTTAAATTTGGTTATTCTACTGTTACCAAGTGGTCAAGTCCATAACTACCCCCTCAGATTACCTGTAGTCCAAAAAATTAGGAGACAGAAATTAGGAAAGAAAAGTGGATTAACTGATTAATAGTTTGTCCAAGTCAGGAAGAGAAAGAATCTGTCTCTTCCTCATCTATCTGTGGGAATTTTACAATATATAGAGAGCTGTGAATGGAAGCAGAAGATACGTGGACTCAGCTGTGAGACTCCTTCCTAGTCCTCTCCAAGGGGTACCTCCACTGCTCCGGTCTTAGTTATGGAGAGGCAAAGTGTCTCTTTAGAATTAGAGTGCCCAGTCCATAATCAAAGCATGGGATCATAGCTTTTACGTTACTGAAGGAACCTAAGCTATAAAATTAGGGAAGTTATAACTTCCATTAAAATTGGTTTTGAATTAGAAAGTTACAACATACTCTAATTCACTGTGGCATTACATTGTCCCTTTAAGCACAGTTACATTTAGAACATGGTGTATATCCAGACGCGGTGACAGAACAACTATCACAATATCATTTTTTGTTAAGATAGGGGTTTGCTATATCGCCTTGACTGGCTTCTACCCAGCCCAAATGGCCTTGAATTCACAATTATCCCCCTGCAGCTGTCTCCTGAATCCTAGGATTTGTTTCTATGCCTGACTACTAAAGGATTTGGGAGCAGATTAGGTGATTATGTCAACTGTGTGATACTCGGTTTAAGATTCAGTAGCATGTATCCACAGGTAAGTGTGTTAACTAGAACTTGACATGGCAGCCTTTCCTCACCTCAAGAAAACAAACAAAACAAACAAAACAACCAACTGTGGCCGGTCGTCCCAGCTCTAGAGAGGGAGCATGGACTGTGGGCTCTAGAGAGGGAGCATGGACTGTGGGCCCTTCGGATCTTTCAAATCTCTCCTCTGACACTTCACTGTGTTAGTATGGACAACATACCTGATGTTTGTTTTCTTTGTTTTTGTTTTTGTTTTCTATGCCACAGTTTCTTGTCAGCAACTGGGGGATAAACATTCTTTGTAGGCTCATTGGTTACAAATTTAAATCAATTTATCTAAAGTTTTAGGATAGTTTATCAATAGATCCTCAATAGGAAGACACAAGAATTACTGCAACGGGAAAGCACACTGTCTACAAATTTACACGAACCAAAGGTGACTTAGTTTCCTAATGTCTTTTTGGTGCATCCAAACTATTAGTCCAGCCCACACAAACAGTTTTCAATGAGGCCAACACTATGTAGACAGATTATCTCTTTTCTTGTGACCTGGCATAAAATGGTCAAAAATGAAATAAAAGCAATGGTGACTGAAGGCTCTGGGACGAGCCTGGGAGTGGTTTTAAAGAAGGCGTCCTATTCAGGTGGCCTGGCAGGCCACTGTAAACATCAGGATATTTAAGTAGGAAGTCAAAGCCCATTGTGGTCCACCAAATGGATGTCTCTTCAGTGTAACAGAGCTACAGATGGCTATCAGTGCAACAGAGCCAGCCTCCTCCTGTTCCTCTCGGCCTGGTCATTTCCTCTCCTGAGTTGAATGTAGGAACCACCCACTGGCGTGGTTCTCAGCATTATAGGTTTTTAGGTCAAACAGAAACCCCAGGGAATGCCTGAAAAGGCCAAGCAAATAGTTCCATCTGCCCAGAACGGATGACAAGGAGCTACCGCTGTTGTGTGTAGCAAAGTCCACACTGGAGAGACATTCCCTGCTGCAGCATCGGAGGAAGCCAGGAGCATGTGTGATCTGGTTAAGAGCTTGGTTCAGAAGTTGCTGAAATTTTCCCTAGGGGGCTCCGTATGAGGCCTTGGTTCATCTTAGAAGACTGAACAGTGGGCCCTGCTGAGTGACCGTCATTATCATCTTCACCTAGGCCTGCCATGGATGAGACGCAGGAGTCTCTAGCCTTGACTGTGCATCTTCTTGCTGACACTGGGAACGGCTCGCTTCTGCAGCAGGCTCTGGACCAACTCCTGGACTGCATCTGCCCGGAGGTGCGTCTCTTCCTGGTGTCTGAACGGACCAGACCACTGAATTACCATGAAAAGTACCACTCCCGGAGGGCCCGCTTCCCCGGAATGTCTGTTTTGCTCTTTCTTCAGGAAAGCCTGGGACAGGAGCGGTTGTTTCGAGTCTTGGACTTCCTACAGCATTCACCCTGGCAGGGTTTCCCTACCCAGCATGCACAGGGAAGGCCTTGTCCCTATCTCCCTGCCAATCAGGAATTCTATAGCCTGCACAACCAGATGCCAGTGTGGGGCATGAGGCCGGTGCACTGTGGCACTGATATCCTCAGAGTGACTCTGTATTGCAGTTTTGATAACTACCAGGATGCCATCAGGCTGTATGAGATGATCCTACAGAGAGATGCCACCGTGCAGAAGAGCAACTTCTGTTTCTTTGTTCTTTATGCCACCGAGGGCTTCAGCCTGCAGCTCTCTCTGAAGCAGCTGCCCCTGGGAATACCAGTGGACCCCAAAGAGTCTTCTGTGCTTCAATTCAAGGTTCAAGAGATCGGCCAGCTGGTGCCTCTTCTGCCCAATCCGTGTGTTCCCATCAGCAGCATTAGGTGGCAGACTCAGGACTACGATGGTAACAAGATTCTGCTGCAGGTATGTCGTTTCTTACGCTTCTACTGCGTACCTGCGTACCAGGGTTACCAGAGTTGGTAGGGTCAGAGTCAGGACCCTGGAAACTCCGACAAGCTAGGCTTGGCCATCCATCCTCAGTAGGCCAATTAAACAGATGAATAATAGTGAAATACAGAGACAGCAGATCTATTCGAAGCAGACACGTTGGGAGAAGACCAAGTGAAGAGGTCCAGTGGCCCCTCCCCCTGATAGGAAGTTTAGGTTTAAGTAGAGGTCAAGACATATGCATGTTTACCTATGCAGTCCTGGTCTGGGTGTGGTCCCAGTTATCATCCATCCATCATTGTCTTAGCTCCAACTTCTCCAGGCAAGTTGTGAAATCTTTCTGGGAGTCAAGCTTCCCCTCTGGCTGCCGTCAGGGTCCCAGCTTTCCCCCTCTGCAGCATGAGATTCCTAGGGAAATTTGAGTTTCTTGGAATCCATTGTGCCATTAATCTGATAGCTAAAGGGAGGGGCACAAGTACTTTTCAAAACAACCTCGTCCCTGTGAGGAAAGGTCTGATGCTATATCTGGGTGGTTCCCAGAGTTGCGTTAGTTAGTGGTCGTCAGCCTGATTGCATAGTAAGAGACTGGGGAGGCTTTAGACTGGTTCATGCCAAGCTACACCACAGTCCCACTAGACCAGCAAGTCTGGGGAGACCCAGAGCATTTCTTACAAAAGAATAAAAGAGCTCATTGTGTGATTCTCATACATACTGCAGGTGACAGTTACAGACTTCAAATTACACAAGTTCCTCATGTGACAGGTAAGAAATACCTGACTTGTGTGAACTTGTAGCTGAAAATCCCAAGAGTCAGATGATGTTCCCGCCCCAGAATGCCATTCACCATGCCTGTCACCCATCTGCACACACTTTGCCCCCTCAGATTCAATAATAATATTACTGGAAAATCTGGACGTCTATCTAGATTTGCACATGTTACTAGGATAATGGAGCTCTCCCCTTATGGTTGTTAGACTCATTGATAAAGGAATTTGAGGACACACTCAGGTGGAAATTCAAGCACAAATTTCTTGAAGTTCAAAAGAAGAGGTAGAGGAAGATGAAGATGAGGAAAAGGGGGGAAGGAGGAAGAAGAGGAGGAGGGGAAGGAGGAAGAGGAAGAGGAGGAAAGAGAAGGAGGAAGAGGAGAAGAAGGAGTAGAAAGATGAGGAGGAAGAGGGGGAGGAGGAGGAGAAACAATTGAGTGCAAGCAAGCCATAAATCTCAGCATCTGCCAGAGGAGAGACATAATGGGGGAGAGAGGGGGCAGAGAGAGACAGAGACAGAGAGACAGAGACAGAGAGAGGCACACAGAGAGAGACAGAGAGAGAGACAGAGACAGAGAGAGACAGAGAGAGAGAGACAGACAGACAGAGAGAGGGAGCCGTGAAGAAGGAGGAAGACTAGGAAATGTTGCACCGGAAGAGATGGTGGGCTTATGAAGTAGCAATGGGTCCTTCCACGTTGCTGATCAAGGCTACAGCAATGCCATGAGTTCTTTCCACAGACCTAAGGAATGGCAAGGTGTAACGGTGTTTGGAATGTTAGGTTGGCAATACTATTAGCATTTTCGACCACTGTCAAATTTAAACACAAATCAAGTTCGACACCCAGAATGCCTTCTAGAGAGAATCTGAATGCCACCCTTTTCAGCCATCCTACTGATGCTACACGCAGCCAGGTATTTACCTAATCATGATGGCTGCCATGTGCCGACCCTTATGGCATATGATGTGGCATCTAAGCTTTAACACTTAGTAGCAGCTGTGACCTTAGCTCAATGAAGGTGATACTGGCATCTTTCTACATGAAGGATGCTAATCCGCATGGAATGGCTTAACACTCATGAACACACATCATTATATTTTAGCTACTGTTGTACATATTATACACTGTACTAAGATTTTCAAATCATTAATTTTTAAAATCTTTATAACAATCTATGAAGTCAGTTTCATTCCTGTTATAAATGAGAAGACTGAGGCAAATTTATTTGTCCAAAGGACCTGTGTTTCTATCAGGTCTCAAAGTCTGTTTGACTAATGGTGGCACCATAAAGGTGGGGCATGAGGGATGGGCAGGGTTACGGCAGCCCCTGTGCTTATAAATGTTCAGGAGTACAGGACAGTCAAAGCAAATATCCCATGGTGTCTGTCCTCGGGAAATGACCAGAACTTCCTTTAAGGCCTAGGGTATGAAGTAATAACACGAGATAGAAATTGTTGCCCTTCCCCTGGGCTAGCTTTCTTACCATCCATTTGCCTTAATTAATAAAACATGAGTTACACAGATTCTATCATAAATAAATACTTCTTTTTCCCTTGAGTAAAACACAGGAGATACTTATCGAACAAGAGGAAAGCTCCAGGCAGCCACGAGGGGCCCTCTGAAACATGTTGTTAGAGATATTACTGGGGAAATGAGGGTTCATTTTTATAACTTCTTTGTCTTACTGAGAAAAGAATTTAAAAACATACCCTGTGTGAGGGAGATGTCTGGACTGGTAAAAGTGCTTGCAGCCAAATCCAAGGGTCTGATTTCAGTTTCTAGGATTCGCATGGTGGAAGGAGTTGTTATCTGACTCTATTCACACTGGAGTCACCAAGCAAGTACCTTATTTTCTACCTTCTTGCTTAGAGGCCTCTAGCACAGCTCCCCTGAACATCCACATTTAGTTCTAGTTAATCCCAGGAACTATAAGCATTCCTGGCATGCAAAAGGGACCATGCCCTTATTCATTCCTATTCTGAAGGCTAAGTGAATTTACTTGGGAGACACAGCTACACAATTAGTCACTTTGAAAAGCTGAATCATATTTGGGAAGACTAGAGAAGTTTTTGATGAAGGAAAATCCAGTAAGGAATACGAAAAAAAAAACTCCATTGTCTCAGCATGTTTTAGAAGTTCCAACACCTGTTAAGTAGGAACCCAGAATATGCCTCTCATTCTTGTGGCTGTTCTTGGACTCTTGGTTTGTGCATATCTTCACTTCTCCAAAATATTGGTCTTGGTCACTTTTTGATCTCTTTATATACAGGACTCCACACTTTTGCAAACAAAATGAGGAATTGTTTTCTAGAAAATTTTGTGATTTCTTGTCACAAAAAAGTTTAAGGAAAGAGTACAAAAGGCTAGACCATAGCGTGCTATTATAATTAACATGTGGTAGCTGCAGTACAGCCATGTTGCACTCAGAAGGAGGTGAGATGTTTAGTGTGCAAAACCCAGTGTAAATTTCCTTGGGATCAGTGTTAGGGCAACAGGGACAAATGATGAATACTCTTGCTTTTGTAAGTAAGTGGTCCAGGCCTAAAATTAGCAAACCTAGGATTTAGTTTTTAGCTTTGCTAAGTTGGTCTTCGCTCTATAATCAGTAAGTTTCTGGACTAGACTTCAGTTGGACCAATATATACTCTACTTTCCCCTCTGAATTGGTGGTTGTACTCAAAGACTAGAGTTTTATGACGACATTAGTCCCAAGGCAAAGATCTGGCCTTTGCTTTAGATGCTGTGTATGGTCACACTGATGTATGGAACTGTCACAAAAGGGTGAAGGTCCTTATAGAAGATTAGAGTGGAGGAGACAATTGCTGAATGTTTGTCAATGAACAAAATTCAATGAAGAAAATAATGTCTGTCCTGGGAAAATCAAATGACAAATTAAGCTCTCTACAGATAACCCCCCATGGGGTCCAGATGGAGACAAAGAGGCCAGAGTGTGTCCGATGTTAAACCCAAGGGGCCAGGGAGAAACTTTCTGGAGAAGTGCTGAGGAGGCCTGCATGAGCTAGGTGACATAGAAGAGGGCCAGCCATTGAAGGGAAGAAATGGCTTCTGAATGGAGGAGACAGGGCACATTTAGCACATTGCCTGAGGCTGCATGAAACTGCAATAAAGGAAATGACATCATGGCATGTGGATGGACAGGTGGCCAGAGGCCAGGTCTTCAGAAATGTGATCCATCATGGGATATGAACATCAAGAAAGAAGACATCTTTTTCTAGTTCACTCCTATGAAGGTAGTATTCAAACTAGTCCTTAGTACATGGAAGGCATGGACATTCATATATGAGTGAATGCCTGATAAATAGCTTCGATTCTAGCTTTAGTACAATGTACAGCTGCTGATGGACCTGTGGACAGCAGTGGCATGGATAATTTGTGTTACGAGAACCAAATGAAAGAACACGCATGTGGAGACTTGTGGAGGCCTGCAGAAGCAGAACAATCGCTGCCTTCGTGTGTCAGAGGCTGTTAGCTCTCTCGCCAAGGGACACTTTCCACAAAACTTCTTGTCACCATCCCCAAACAAAACTCCACACCCACTAGACTGAATTCAGAGTTCCTTCTTCCCCAGCAGTCTACATTGTATTCTGTCTTCATGAATTCACCTGTTTAAGGCATTTCCTGTGAGTGGAATTATTATTGTTTCTCCAGAAATAACAAGGATTTCTCTTTTGCTTGTGTAAGCTGTCCTCACTCAGACTTCGTCACTCACTCTTGTTTTTGCTCCTGCCTTCCCATTCTCCATCCCTACACGCAACTCACCTCAGGCAGTGATACACAACTGGATTTACTAAGTACCTAGGCTGTGCTGTGATTAGCAAGTGAGGGTCAGAGGCATTGGCTGCTATAGAATAGCAGGTTAGCATTGGTGGCTTGTCAGTAGATCAAGGAGTTTTAATTGGAAAAGATTTTCCACTCTTCAGTATGTCTGATGCCTTTTGAGAGTCTCCTCGTATCTACCTACTTTGTTTCTACACCATCATCTTTCCCATCTCAGAGAAATTCTTTGGTTACTTTCGTGAAAAACCGTCAGTGAGACATATTATTTCTCTTCATAGGTACAAGCCTGCTCCTTTGTCGATAATGCATTTTCACAAGCTTTTCAAGTCGAAACTCGCATTGGGGTATGCATGTTCTCCCTGTTTATCACACCTGCTAATGTTCTCTGAACTTGGAAAAACCTTGTACTT